CTTATCCTGATCTTTCCTCTCCTTGGAGCTTACAGCTTCCAGATATGGAACTGAGACATAAATAAAAGCTAAATACTTTTTTACATTATTATAATAGTAAACCACAGGGATACAAGTGAAAACCAAGACATTGCTCATGATTGAAAGTATCTCAGTGCCAGAATAGGATTCAGGTGAGTCCAGGAAGTAGCAGTGTGAATTCTGAAAGTGTGGTAGAAGGTAAGAGTGTACTTGGGGTGGCGCTGGAGAAGTGCCCAGTTGAGGATAAAGGCCCTTCTGATACAAATTATGTCAAGGAGAATTGTCACAGGATGCTTTTTAATCCTTAGTTCACCCATTCTTCTGGAAAAATAAAGCCTTTATTGTCCATGCAAGCATCAGGCAGCAAAGGCAACTGGAAATAAAAGCTTAACCAAGTGCAAAACTTGAGAATAAGGCGTATATGGGTACATCCTGGCTTATGGCAAATTGTGTTCTCAGTGGTAGTACTTGAAGGATTATGTGTTTTTCATCTTCATTTCATTTATTAATCAAGGATATTATTTACTGACCAGCTGTGTCAAATGAGGTTCTCAGGGAGACAGATGCTGAGACAATTAGGATACAAGGACTTCGTTGGGAGAAGGGAATATGATACCTATGCAAGATAAAAAGAGTAAACACAATTGGATAGGGAAGCTCTCAGGGTAGGCTGTGGATCTGACCCTTGTGAAAGGGAGAACATTGGACTGCAATGCACATTTGACATTCTCGGCCTACCCATCTCTGGGCTCCATAGCAAAGATTATTATTTTTTTAAATAATAATTTTTTAAAAAAATAATGCCAACAAATAACTATTTCTAATAATATTTATCATTATAATTTATTATAAAGTAATGATAATAAAAATAAATAAAAAGATTTTTACATGATGATGATGATGATGATTGGAGATACCAATTGAGTAGAAGAGGGTTCCCTTTCCTCCCCATGACTAGTCATCTGTGAGGCTGCCTAAGAATAGTATGGCTTTTGTTCTCAGGCTGTGCAGCAGATCCAGTGGCCCTGCTGCTGGAGGCTGTGGGCCTATCGTATTCCTTATAGGTGAAAGGCCAATCCTTTTTTAATGGGAGTGTACCTTGATGGGTGCCACACTATCTGTTAAGTTATAAGATATTAAAATTGAGAGTCCATGGAAGCATTAGTTCCATTTGGGTGTTTTTCAGGGGAACGATATAAGAAGTACACTAAAACAATGAGACCCTCCAAGGGAATGGTTTCAGTGAGCACTGGTAACTTGCACTTAGTAAATGTGGATACTGACGTGGTGCATCTCCCCTCAAGAAGTTGGAAAGGGACATAATTGATACGGAGTGTCATATGGAAATGTGAGAGGCAGCAAAGTACAATAGAAAGTACTCTGAAGCAGGGCTGTCCTTTGTACTTACGGAGGAAGGAAGGGGTTACTGTATTCAGAAAAAGGGCATAAAAAGAAACTCACTTAAAATGCATTAGAGAGATAGCTATTTAAATATTCCTATGGCTAGTCTTATTACAATGCAAATAATCACCCCATACTCAATTCTGGTGTAAATCTTTGGGTTTCCTAAGGCAGGCCTGCCTAAAACTAGGAATATTATACATATTTATATGTAAAGTGAAAAAGTATAAGCTATCTGTTTTTTATTTTACACAGAGAGAAAAAAGGATAGTATAAAAAATAACTAAACCAAATTTCACCCTAGAGGTTGACATACCTCTTCTGTGAAGAGCCAGATAGTAAATATTTTAGGCTTTGAGCTCCTTGGGCCGCATGTGGTTCTCTATTAGTTCCTTCCTCCTTCCCTTCCCTGCTTCTCTTTTCTCTCCTGCCTTCCTTTCTTCCTTCCTTTTACAGTCATGTATTTTTCCTCTCTCAGCTTTCATTCCTTTCTTTTACAATCACATAAAAATGTACATTTTCTTAGTTTTAAAGGGTACAAAAATAAGTCCTAGCCTGTGACCCCTACTGTAGATTGGGTTCTGCTTCAACTTATTTTTGATGTTGATATGACTTCAGAAATTGACAGAGACACTTCTATATTTTATTAAGAGGGGAAGAGAGGATGATTTTGGAAGTCATACTGATCTGGATTTGAGTACTGCTTCCATCTTCGTTTCATGAGCAAGTTATTTAAGTAGTGAGTGGTCAGCTTCCTCATAGAATCAAACCAGTGCTACCTGGTTTGAGAATAGTTGTGTAGATTTAATGAACTAATTTGTGAAAAGTACTTTGCCCAGTAATTGTCACATAATAGAATCTTATAAATGTTAGCTCCTTTATTCCCTCCTTTTTCTTGTTTGACGATTTTTCCAAGCCCTTATTCCCTGTCTTTGAATTGTTCTGGCAAAATTCTAGACTGTCTGTAAAACTTTGAGTTTGACATAATTGAGTCAAATTAATTTGTTGACATTTTGATTATTTGAGACAGATTATTGACTTTGCTTTCTATTACATAAAGTCTCCATTCACCCCTAGATATCTTCAATAGAGCCCTGACTATATTTCTAATAGTGTTGATGATGTATGCTAGTGATATGCAAACTTTTCATTAAAAATTTTAGAATTTTCCAGGTCAATTCTCGTAAAGCTATATGAATATAAATATTTTGAACTATATGCTAAATTAGGAGACAAAAATCTGAATTAGTAGATTATAAAAAAAAGATGTATGAGAGTTGGGAAGGGAGTGGAGACTTGTTCTTTTTGCTAAGAAATCTTAATTTTATATTTTGATCATTCATGATCCTTTGAGTTCTACCTGTAACTCTTATTAAGACTAACAAGAGCATTTCTGGTTGGCTGGATAATACCTAGCGTGCTTTAAAGATCACTTTCTTAGAGTATATGCATGCTCCTTGAAGCTGTGACTGTGCATGCTTTAAATCACTTTTACATCTGAAATATTCATTGACTAAAATATAGTTAATATATGCCTTCTTTCTATATTATTAGCTTCTTGTCTTTAAACCTTGCTCTGCCAAATTTTGAGCATCCTAGCACAACTCTAAGACCTATGGCTAAGCAAAGACCAAGATGGTTATAAGGAGCCCATCAACCTAACTAAACTTTTGACAGGTTTCTTCCCGACCATAGTCTTGACCTCCCTTTTCTTAGAGTATTTACTTAAGAAAACTCAAATTGTAAATCCTTTCCTGTCCCTTTGAGACAGATTTTCTCCCAGTCTTACAAATTTTAGAACATAGGCATGTTTTTGTTAAGGAACTGGGAGTTGTCCCTATGCAGGATGGTAGTCTCTGTGGGATACAGTAACCCAGTGCCAGTTAGCAAACATAGGTGGCATATTCACATTGACCAATGTCCCCCTAACATTCTCTAGTACTCTCCCACTGGCTCACTAGCACTTATAAACTTTCCTGCCTTTTGTTTCATTGGAGAAGAAAGTTTCCCTTGTGAGTTTAACTCAATTGCCTGCTGCATTTTTTTTTTTTTTTTGACAGTGACTGAGAGTGAAGACTCTAAAGTCAGAACTGCTATAGAATCCTGGCTGCCTTTTCTTACACAACTCATACAGATACATTAAGCCTCCATTTCCACAGGAACAAAATGGTGATAATGTTACCTACCTGTAGGAATTCAGAAGGATGGTTGGGGTCAATGAAAGTACTGAACACCCCTGGTGCCTAGTATTCTTTCTTAAAATTTTGGTCTTATGACAACATGAAAAGCTTTTTGATAGCACTTTCTAAAAAATAGTAAACTGCTCTTATGTACTAAAACATAATTCTGTTTGCTGAATTATCATATATACCCTTCCAGGTGAAGTATATTTAGTTCTTGAAATAAAGAGATAAATAAATGCATCAGAAATAGTGAAGGGAAGCAACTGTTCCTGAAGTGTGTGGTTATTTAAGGTGGAGAAATTTGTTACTTTTAAGGATATACTGAGAAGCAGCACATGTGGGAGAGGGAGACAAATGAAAATATGTGTTTTCAGTCTAGCAAGTGATATTCTCCAACAAATAAAATTTGTGCTTTTATATTTTGAAGTTCAAAATATCCAAATACTGAATTTTCTTTTAAAATGCAGGTTATAATTATCTATTATCTTGAAGCCACTTCTGGAAATATTTCCTACATTGTAAAGAAATATATATATGAAACTACATGTGTTAAAAGTTGAAACTGCTTTGTTTTGGAGCAGGGGAATGGAATGGTAGCAGATGGGTGGGAACTACATTTTCTGAATCTATGTTGCAAAAAATGTCCAGCAATTCTCCATTCTACATATGACATATCTGTAAAACTACTCCTTCCCACTTTATATTCTCTCCAAAAGTAATATGAGAAAAATTCATTTGAATTGTCTGACTTTGAACAGTCTATATTTCTGTTTGGAGACCCTGCTTGCAATTCTGATTGACTTACAAAGATAACAGTAGTGATATGGATCAGTCTAAAAGACCAGAAGTCCTGCATTGATGTTCCATTCTTGAATACAGACAACATGAGGGTGATTTTTTGGTTTATTTTGAGACATCAGCTCTATAGTCTATTCCCTATTTTTATACTTCCTATTAGAGGAGACTTATAAAATTAGATTTATATTTTTAGAATGTTTGCTTTTATGTCTCTTCCGTGCTTAAAACTGTTTTGTTTCTGGGAGGGGTTACAAAGGAAGGCCGAGCCTCGTAAGCCTTTATGGTAAAAAAGACATATTGTGGTTTATGACGTCTGGATGCCCACCTGGAGAAAAGGGAATTCAGCACCAAAATAAGAAAAATTAAATCCAAGTTAGCCCAGAAATCAGATATGCCCATGATGTAATAAGGATTTAAGTTGGAAAGTTAGTTGTTATAGCCCCCTAGTTGTATATATGTTATCCTGAGGCACCACTTGGTTTAATAAAATATAGATCCGAGACTGTTCCTAAGTTATCAGCTTCTAAAGACTTAATTATAAAGGCCATATTTTCAGAGGACAAAAGCATTATTCATTTGTCTGTTCATGTCTTCCAGGTTTATCTTGCAGATTATGGACTTTCCTACAGATATTGTCCCAATGGGAACCACAAACAGTATCAGGAAAATCCTAGAAAAGGCCATAATGGGACGATAGAGTTTACCAGCTTGGATGCCCACAAGGGAGTAGGTGGGTTTCTCTTTTCTTTTTCTTACTTTTATTTCAGAAGAATGATTAGAGTCAAGAGTAATAAAACTGCATGAGATGACCTTGGCAGAGTCGGTTTGAAGAGTGAGAGCACTGCTGAGGTTTTTATGTGCATTAGTGAGTTCCTATTATACCAATGAATATTTCTTCTGATAGTGCATGGGGATATAGACTGTAACAACAGAAGAAGGAGCCAAAGAGTAGCAAGTAAACAAAGTTTGATGTTCTCTTGCCCAGAAAGTCACTAGCTTGTTTTTGTTAACCCTAGAGGTTAGTGAAGAATTTTTTATGCTGTAGGTGACTATCAGACTTGATAACGTTGCACATGTGAATGGTTATTTGTTTTTCCTTGTGCCCTTATCAGAAATCTAGAAGATAACATCTCTCCATAATAAGGATATCTTTCTTGAAACTATAAAGTGTTAACTTGTGGAAATCTCTCCTAGTCGCCTTTCATATATCTTACTTATTTAAACTCACTTTGATGGTATTGGAAACACATTTGCAGGTAAATTACATACATAGTCCTTTTATTGGATATTGATTGGACTGCCTTGCATTCCAAGGCAGACTTAATTCAACAATTCCCTAATTAGTTAAAGTCATAACCTATGTCTTGTATTCATTTACCATTAATTAAACCTTAGCTGTTTATTACTCTGCAGTCCAAATCCAATAGCCGACCCAGAAAGCCATGGAAAAGGAAGTAGGAGGTCAATATTGAAAATATATGGTGCTGAGTCCCACTGATGGTTGCTTTGTTCACAATCAATATGGTCAATGCAACTGTACTTTCTTAGTTGCTCTGTCAGCAAGACAAAAAGTCAATTCTAATGTTATGCTAGTGAAAAAAATTGTGATTATTGAAAAACTTTGGCTTTCAAAATTATATTCTTTGTAAACTTTGTTTATAAAGGTATTTTCAAATATGCTAAATTAAATAAACAATTTTTAAATAGCATTGAGATGAACACATTTTCACTAAAAGGCAGCAAGACATTTGCACTTCTTAATGGTTTGTTGAACTGTTACCCTAAACTGAGACTTTCTAACGAGTTTTAGTTGGCGCAAACAACTGTATATTATTGCCTTTTCTATTAAAAGGACCATTGACCATGTAATGTAGAGGGTCTTGATCATTTTCCAGAGCAATTAAAAACCCACAGTAGTTTAAGGTAAGCTGATGAAAAAGTAAAACAAGTGTGTTGGTTGTATACCTAAGAAACTTAGACTATATTTCTGAAACAGAATTTAGCCTTTATACTCCCAGCAGAGAGTAAAAGAAATCACTACCTTTTTTCAAGTATGATTTTCTTAAAAAAGTAATGATCACTCAGAAATTTAGTAGAGTTGCATAATTTTTCACCATTTACATTGCTAATAAATCAGTGAGCACTTAAAGACAATGGGACATAACTTTGATTAAATTAAAAAGCATAAACATCAAGAATATTGTGGGGGTTTTTTTTAGCTTAAAGTTCTTTCACTTCTGATGAGTTTTATTCTTCACTTTTGCCAGAATTATTTTACAATACCTAATAGTTTTCAGAAACATGCAATTACTTTTTACATAGTGGTACACATGGAAATTCATCATACAGATTCTTACCTATTTGTACAGTTTTGTTAACAATGATACTGATTTATGGTTAGGCCACTTATTTGAATTGATGCCACTGATACTGATTAGTCTGGTTTTGTGTATGAAAATAGCTAAGAAACTATTGTACTTATACAAGGGGAAGGAGAGTTATTAGTTGTTGGTCTGACCAAAGTTTGACAGTAGTAATTCTGAACATCATCTTCAGTTAATTCCATAGTTGAATGTTGTGTTTGCATTGTTCTATCTTCATGAAATATTTGAACAATTTTTTATTCAGTAGTCCACTTAAAGTTTTTTCTCCCTTAAATCTTATACATGTTGAATAGTAGATTTAACCATTCCCAGTCTTGAGGGAGAAAAATTGAATTCAGAATGATCACAAAAAGATATTATATCTCTGGAAGGAATATTCAGGGAAGAACCTACATTAAATATTTTTGGTGTTTGCTGGAAAGTTTTATGCTGGAATATTCATTTTTATCATAGGTTTTCCAGGGTTCCTAAATAGTAGATTACCTTCAAGCATTTAAAATATGATATATTTTAAACTTCTAGGCATATATGTATCTACTTGTACATATAAATATATTCATGTTTATGAGAACATGTGTATACACACATTTGCTGAAATTTTTATATGAAGTTACTCTGGTATATAAAATGGAAAATTTGATATTCTCAAGTGTTTGAACAGTGTTTTTAAGATATTGTATTTAATATTCTAAAATAAAACATTTCAGTTCAGCATTGTATAAATAATTATTAGGTAATAATTATTTAACCATATTTAGAAGCCAAAATAAACAGGACCATAAATCCTATAGGTGAATGCAGAAGATCAAGTTCATAAATATTCATGTGTTTACTTTTAGTACAACCACTGTGTAGCTTAATCTCAGAAAAAAATCTTCTGTACCAGTCCAGCTATGATGTCAAATAGATATTGAGGAAAGATAATGCAAAAGAAAGCACAGAGAACAAAAGTTATCACTGCAAAGTAGAGCTTCTGGTTGCCAAACATTTGCTATGTGTCCAGTATATCTGGGTTTGGTCAGGCCAAGGGAATACTCAGATTTTAATGTAAAACTATCTTAGGAGTTAGCCACTCAATTAAAGACTATTAACCTGATCAGACTATCTAGTTGCTCCTACTTTTTCTAATGGTTATTCAGAAATTGAAGGGAAAGCTCATTTTTGTGTGTGTATGGATTAAGTTTTTATAATGAAGGAATGTGTATAAAAAATATCTCAGCCTCTTCACCTAAGTGTTTTCTCATTCAGCTATAAAGGGAGGGAAAGAAATAACCATCTTAGCTATTAGCTCATATTATTATAGATTAAAAATTATGCATAGAGATGAATGGACAGATAACTATACCTGGAACTATCATACATCTCTGTATCTGTATGTTTTTAAACATTTCAGTTATTCTTCCAAACTCAATTCTCTCATGTATCCTAAATGTATTTTCTAAGTGGTTGAACTGCTTTTATTCAGTATAAAATTAAAGTAATATATGTTGTATTTATTTCTTCCATTATTTCTTTACTCTTCATTGAAACTAGCACATATAAATTTGACATATATTATTCTCATTGCCTGATAATTAAAGAGAATTATATCTTTGTCAAATATACTATTTTAAAATTTGTTACATTCTTAGTAATGTTAAAAAGCAATATTTGGATCAATGTGTGGTATGGATTTCTGTAGATTTTTCTACTCACTGAGGCATGCAGTCAATACCTAATTTCTCTAGAGATATACTGCATTTAACATATTGAGCTTTTTAAAATACTTCAGACCTAGGCATTGAGTGTATAATACCTGTTTTAATTCGACATCATTGATGACCATAAAATATGATATCTAAATTGTACTTTAAATGTCCATTTGTTTATGTAATATATTTAGTGTCAGATAGATATATTAACTTTTTTTAAAAAATTTTTTTTGCCAATTGCTACAGTATATGAAATCCAAGTCTGGTGTTATTTCTTGCCTGGTTTCCTTTCATTTTGCACCAACTTACAAAATACATGTGAAATAAACTGAGAATGTATTTTCATGTTACCAAACTTAGGAAAATGACATGGTTTGCACAATACTTACCTTCCCAAATACTAATTCAAAAAAGAAATCTCATTTTCCTATTATAAAGTATAAAGGTAAGCCATCAAATATTGGTATTCCCTTATTTCATTAGTTGACAAAAATATAGGTAGGTAATGTGTAGGTAAATTTGACTGCTCTAAATAGTCTGGCTAATGTATAAACAATAATGAAGATTATTGCTTCTCTGTGGCATATAACCATTGGTTTACATTCACACATGACTTGTAAAGTCTGAACATACATCTTGACTTTTTAATTGAACTCTTTTGTTAAAAACTATGCAATGGTCAAATGTAAACTATCTCTGCTCTGTTGAATGGCTTTTCTTAATCTTCACGTAGTAGGGTTTCATGAGGAAACGTAATTTAAAACGTAATTTAAAAGGTACTTTAAAAATAGAGACCTGGGTTCAGTATTTTATCTGAAATATTATTTATTATATTCTATTTTCCTAATATCCTTTTTGAAACTACAGTAAATGTGGTTACCATAATATTTTGTAGCTCTTTGTACATTCTAATGGACAAAATATTGAATTATATAAGTTATCCGTTAGAAAACTAAGAACAAACTTTAAATTTGTCCTTCATATATCACTATTCAGTTTGTCAAGGAGCATCTTATCAGCAGTTTTCTGCTTTCATATTGTCATGCCTGGTTACATATATTCATATTTTGGGCATTTGAACCCAGACATTTTCAAGTTCATTTTATTTTCTACCAATCCCTGTTTCTCTTCATACTCCATGATGCTACTATATTAAGAAATAAAACTAAACAGAAAGTCCCTTAGGCAAATAATCAGATCCATTTTGGGGGAGGGCAGTTAACACTTAAACTTTGCTTTTTCTCTTTCATTCCTATTGGTGAATTTTACTCCAATTTGTCTTTTGAGGACCAGTTCTCAAAAGTGGTCTCTCTGTTGTTTGATTGGAAGGACCATTTAACACTTTATAAATAAATATTCTAACTTAGAGATCCTTCTTTATGAGAGTGAAGTAGCTTGAAAGAAATAATTTTTCATTCAACTATCCTTTTATAAAACTTAGGGATGCAGCTTAGATCTTGGCTTGTTTATGACCAAAACATGTTTCTTTATGTCAATATGTCTTTCAGTGCTTTAAGTTAAATTGCCTGTTTCAGTAGTGTAAATAATGCTATTTGAATAATGTTAAAATTAATTCTGGAGGCAAAGAATTCTTAGATTGAGCATGGACTTTGGATTCTGAAAGTCTTGAACTTCAGTGTTGAGCTCCGTCTAGT